ATCACCAAAAGCTAAAATTAATGAGCAAAAGTATGATGAGAAACAGGATATTTATACAATCTCAAATTATCTCCCAATAAGATACTTATTAAGAAGATAAAAATAGTAATTTTCAGGCCGGGCGCGGTAGCTCATGCCTGTAATCCCAGCACTTTGGGAGGCCAAGGTGGGTGGATCACGAGGTCAGGAGTTCAAGACCATCCTGGCCAACATGGTGAAACCCCATCTCAAAAAAAAAAAAAAAATAGTAATTTTCAGTGGAGAAATATGGCAGACACCACAGTAATCAACTGATCAAAGGGAACACTGGCATGAATGGGACAAATCAGCATCACGTTACTCTTGTCATGAAGCACTGAGAAGGCCACAGCATTGCTTCTGAAACGTTGCTGACAGAAACACATAACTTCAATCTAGTTACGAGGAAAGACAGGAGAAATCCAAACCTTGGAACACTCACAAAACAACCAGCTTGCACTCTGAGAAACATGTCAGTGGCCTGGATTCCAAACAGTGGCTCCTGCCTGTAATGTTAGTACTTTGGGAGGCCAAGACAGGAGGATCACTTGAGGCCAGCAGTTCGAGACCAGCCTGGGCACATAGAGAAACCTCGTCTATACAAAAAAAAAATTAGCTGAGCGTGGTGGCCTGCGTCTGTAGTCCCATTTACTTGGAAGGCTGAAGCAGGAGAATCTCTTGAGCCCAGAAGTTTGAAGCTGCAGTGATCTATGATCACGTCACTGCACTCCACCCTGGGCAACAGAGCAGGACCCTGTCTCTAAAAACAGAAATTAAGAAAAAGAAAACCAGGTCAAGGTCTGGTGGCAGCCATCAGGTAAGCCAAGATGGGTGCATACAAGTATGTCCAGGAGCTATGGAGAAAGAAGCAGTCTGATGTCATGCGCTTTCTTCTGAGGGTCCGCTGCTGGCCGTACCGCCAGCTCTCTGCTCTCCATAGGGCTCCCGCCCCACCCGGCCTGATAAAGCGCGCCGACTGGGCTACAAGGCCAAGCAAGTTTACGTTATATATAGGATTCATGTTCACCATGGCGGCCGAAAATGCCCAGTTCCTAAGGGTGCAACTTACGGCAAGCCTGTCCATCGTGGTGTTAACCAGCTGAAGTTTGCTCGAAGCCTTCAGTCTGTTGCAGAGGAGCGAGCTGGACGCCACTGTGGGGGCTCTAAGAGTCCTGAATTCTTACTGGGTTGGCGAAGATTCCACATACAAATGTTTTGAGGTTATTCTCATTGATCCATTCCATAAAGCTATCAGAAGACATCCTGACGCCCAATGGATCACCAAACCAGTCCACAAGCACAGGGAGATGCGTGGGCTGACATCTACAGGCCGAAAGGGCCGTGGCCTTGGAAAGGGCCATAAGTTCCACCACACTATTGGTGGTTCTCACCGGGCAGCTTGGAGAAGGCACAATACTCTCCAGCTCCGTTACCGCTAATATAAGTAAAGTTTGTAAAATTCATGCCTCATAAACAATTTAGGACAGTCATGTCTGCTTACAGGTGTTCTTTGTCTGTTAAAATTAGTCTGCTGATTGTTTCATGAATGCTTTGTCAAATTGAGAAAGTTAAAGTGCAATAATGTTTGAACACAATACGTGATATTGTGTATGTTGTTTCTAATAAGATAAACACTTTTGTCTTTGCTTTATCTCATTAGGGAGTTCTATGTCAGTGTATAAAATGTACTGTGTGGTGTAATAGGTTTAAAATAAACTCTTTAAAAGAAAAAAAAACCAGGTCAAAGTCATGAAAGACAAAGAAAGAGGAACTGTTTCAAATGAAAGGGGATTAAAAAAACACGACACCTGCAGGGCGCGGTGGCTCACGACAACCTGTAGTCCCAGCACTTTGGGAGGCCGAGGCGGGCAGATCACTAGGTCAGGAGACCAAGACCATCCTGGCTAACACGGTGAAACCCCATCTCTACTAAAAATAAAAAAAATTAGCCAGCCGTGGTGGTAGGCGCTGTAATCCCAGCTACTCTGGAGGTTGAGGCAGGAGAATCGCTTGAACCTTAAAGGCAGAGGTTGCAGTGAGCCAAGATTGCACCACTGCATTCCAGCCCGGGCGACAGAGCGAGATTCTGTCTCAAAGAAAAAGAAAAAGAAAGAAACATGACAACCGAATGTAACATATGATTCTGAATGGGATCCTGAACCACAAAAAGGGTATTAGTGGGTAACTGGCAAAATCTGAATCAAGTTTGTAGATTACAGAAAAAGAAGACAAAAAACATAGTTAGAATGTATTTTCTAACCAGCCTCCTTTGCAGTTTGGTGGGGCCTTGTGACTGAGTTCTGGCCAATGGAACCACCTGGAGGCCTGACCCAGAGCATCTCCCTTGGGGATTCTCTCATCTGGCAACTGGATGGCAACACCGAGGGTGATTTTGGAAGTCACGTATTGGAGATAACAAAGCTTTTGTCACCCAGGTTCCTGAATGACTCCTGGACATCACTGGCTGAACTTTATGTGAGTGAGAAATACACTCTATTTGAAGACGTGGGTTAAGCTATGGAGATTTAAAGACATCTGTTTTAACATTTGGTTTTACCATACTAATAACAAAGTCCTTTATGATATGGTCCTGGAAGCTCTCATTCTTTGGTAAACCTTCCCTAATCTTAACCTCTGCCTGAACATCCCCTCCACCTACTAGCCTCAGTGGAATTCTCAAGGCAGGACACCTCTTCCTTATAGCCCTCTCTGTGGAAGCTGGTCCCATCCTTCTCCTCCCCAGGCTTCCAGGAGCTACAGACTTCTCCTGGGTAGCCATTGCCTCCTCCATTGTTCTTCTTCTTCATAGCAAATCTTTTGTCCTTAGAAATGTGTACCAGCCCTGTCGCTCTCTTTCCTACCCTTCCACTGTTCTCACCTGAATCATCCACCATTGCCCTTGGGTTTTGCCAGCTGGCTCCCACCTTCCTCTCTCCTAAGGCTGGTGCCACTCCAGACACCTGTTTTCTACCAGCAGCTGGGCACTCAGCGTGTCTTGGCCACACATGTACCTGGTACCTGTTTTCCTGATCCCTACAGCAGCTTTTCCGAACCATCCCCCTTCCTCCGGACCTCTCTTTCCCCACTGACGGCCTTGCCTTCCGTGTCTCTGAGAAAGTTGAGGCACTCTGGATCTAATGCCCTCAACTTCCTGTCCTGATTCACACTCTACCTCCTTCCTTCGAGGCTCAAAGTCATGCTGACGCTCTCCCATGGCTTCCAAGACAGCGCTAAGAGAGCTGCTCTGTTGGATGGCGCCCTGTCTCTCTTTCTCCAAAAGGCTTCAGCCTCTCTCCACTAGCAATTTATAATACATTCTAATACCTTTCCGTGAATAACAACAACATTCCTAGAAAGAAGCATCTACATTCGTTTCCTCACTCCCTGTTCATATTTTCATCCACTGTAATCTGGATTTTTCTCCCACCTCCTAAAATTGCTCTGGCAAAGGAAACCCCATTTTCTTTATGACCAAATCCAAAGGCTTCTTTTTAATTTTATTGTGCTGATTTATTTTATTTTCCTACTATTTTGCTTTTTGTAGAGATGGAGGTCTCACTTTGTGGCCCAGGCTGGTCTCAAACTCTTGGCCTCAAGCAGTCCTCCCGCCTCGGCCTCCCAAAGTGTTGGGATTACAGACGTGAGCTGCTGCACCTGGCTCAAAGGCTTCCTTTGAATTCCCATCTTCCTTGCCTTCTCGTCAGCATTTGCTACAGCTAGCCTCTTCCTGTGAAGGATGGTCATGCCTGTCCTGTTCTCAGCCTCCGTAGTGGGTCCTTGGTCTTCTATCCCAGCTTGAATTCTCAGTGTGACCTAAGGTTCGGTTCTATATTTGACCTCTTTTCTTCTTCCCTCCCGCCCATCTCCCCTCGCTCCTCACCTCTGTCATTCCCCTTGCCTCCTCCTCACTTTCACTCTGCATAAGCCATTCCCAGGGGCTTCAGGTCACATTTCACATCGACTCACAGTTTGAATCAGTATCTCATCTCTCCTGAGCCCCATAGCACCACACCCACGTCCCTGCTGGCACTTGCCACATGGTACAACTTCCGTGGGCACTTCAAGCTCGCTGCATGTAAAACTGAGCTCATTCTTTACCCCCACCTCTTTCTGTATTTCCAGTGATGATCACCTGGAAACCCATCAGCCAGAAACTTGGGAGTCCTCCCAGACAGCTCTCCTTCACAGATCCACACTGTGCAACTGGTGGCAAAACCCTGCACTTGCTGTATTTGTAACATTTTCCCACACCTCTCAGCGCTGAGGCCCTGAGCCCTGCAAGCCGTTACTGTCTCTAGTGTAAAGCCTGCAGGGCTCTCCTGACCAGTGCTCCGGCGCCTTACTGCCACTGAGTCATCTTTCTAAATAACAAAGCTCTTTCACTCCCCAGCGCAAGCCCTTTAGAGGCTCCCTGTTGCCTGCAAGACAAAGTTCCAGCTCTCCAGCAGGGATTACGAAGCCTTCCCGTGGCTTGCTCCTGCCCTGCCCACCTTCCGTTTCCCTAAACGCCTGCCCTCCTCAACACCTTGCTCTTCTCCAGAGTCCCCGTGCGCGTTCACCTCTGCAGGCTTGTCTCGCTCTCCCTCTGCCTGAGATATCCTCTCCTCCACTGCCTGCCTAGTGAACACCCCTTCACTTTTGAGACAGTTCAGGAAGAGCTTCTTCTAGAAGGTGTTTTCTGATTGCTTTCGTGTAGTAAAATTGCCCTCTCCTCCCTTTGAAGTGACACTGCATTCATGATGGAAGCCAGGGTGGGCGTGGGAGAAGCGTGATGGGCACTCTGTGCATTTGGCCCCTGGCCCCCACATTGTGCATCTTGAGGTCGGGGTCCTGTCTGTCACTGCTGGGTGCCTGGTGCCTCACTCAGTGCCTGGCACCTGGCAGGTACTCAGTAAGTCCTTTCAGTTGTGCTGAATGGGAAGGTGGGTATGTGGGATGCCCTGGAAAGAGTTTGATTTCCAACCATGGAAAGGCCCTGGGCCTAGAATGGGACTGTGGGACTTTATTAACTCAGAGAAAAGAGCCCTTTCCCTCACCTCACTAACTGCTTCTTGAGGACCCCTCCCTGCTCTGTGGTGGGTCCGGGGCAGGCAGGAGAAGCAGTGAGAGGTTTTCCTGCAGGCACAGTGACTGTTACTGAGGCGACGATTCTTCTTCCAGCTGCAGCTGAAGGAAGACACCTGCAAGAGAAGGGTGAGCTGAGCTGCAAGAGCTGCACTGAGATGGCAGGAGACGGATGGACACTCTGAGCAGGTGGCGCCAAGTTACCCATTACCTGGGTGCTGTCCTTCTGTATAACTCATACAGAAAAAACCCTAGTTCTGCTCTCCCTCACTTGGTCTGTGTCTCCAGTAGGTGCCCTATCCCACCCTAAAGAACATGGACTGCAGCTTGGGGCAAATCCTTGGCATCTTTCCTTCTTCCTGTTTGTTCTGGGGGTGGGTGGTGGCAGGACAGGGCCTGGGGTTGGGCTGGGGGCTTCTTTACCTGAGGACTTGGCATAGACTGTCTTCTGGTCTCTGCTGTGGGCGATGCAGGACATGTAAAGCTTCTGGTCTTCGATCTTTTCCACTTCTATGTCCATCACAACCAGAGAGCCCACAGGGATCAAGCTGGGAGAGGAGGCAGCTTAGCACATCTCTTCTGTGAACCCGGCCCCCTACCCCTTCACCCTGTGTCTTCTTCCCTCTCTTCATTCCTCCCTGCCTCAAGGTCTCATAAGTGGCCCTGGGCTCAGGGCCTTTTTGTCAGCTCCCAAACGTTGGACAGCAGAGGCTGCATCCTGGCCAGGCACTAGAGGAACTGCTTGCGAGTGGGCTGGGAAGGAGAGTGGCAGGCAGGGCTCCCATACCCCAGCTGCCGAGGATGGCCAGCCCCAGGGATGAAAAGGGCTGTGACTTTGGCCAATGCCCCAAGGGCCCTTACTTACTTTTTGAACCTGATGTTGAGGCTTTGTGTGAGCAGCCCCTGTCCAGCCAGGTAGGCAATTTTAGAAAAGGCCTCGTCCATCATGGCTGCCAGGGACCCACCGTGGGCAAACCTGGGGGTGGGGGGTGGGGGTGAAAGCAAGGTCTGGGCTGGGGCCGCTGGGTGGACCCCCACACTGGGCCTTTCCTCCCTCCTGTGGTGACCCCGCCTCTCCCTTTCCCTAGACCCTTCCAAACACAGACCTTCAGCCTCAGGGCAGACAACTAGGAAAGGAAACAGCTGCATCCCATCTCATCAAATCCATCCAAACCAGCTGAGCTTTTCCGTTTTGCTTCAGCATGTGTTTGTAGCCACTGATACAACGATTCTATTTCATCAGGGAAAACTGTTTTTTTCCTGATAAAGTTAATAGAAAACGCTTTTCTGATTCATTACCTAATTGCTGGTGACAATTGCCATAATCTGGAAGGATGTGCACACACGGGAAATGAAAAAGCCCCTGAACTTTTTGACTCAGTCTTCGAGGCACAACCCTGGGCTGTTTCTCACCTTACCAGTCCCTACAGTCAGTGAGGGGCCCACATGTCAAGATAAGTAAATGTGAAACATAGCTTATGACCTATCAAGGGGCTGACATGACAGACTTGTGAGCAGTGTTGCCACAGAGAGCAGAGAACCCACTTCAGCAGTCTCATTGCTGAAATTGAACTGGAATGTTCAAATGCTGCAGACCTTCGCTTTATTTAGCATGCCTAGAATGGCCGGGCGCAGTGGCTCATGCCTGTAATCCCAGCACTTTGAGAGGTTTAGGTGGGTGGATCACTTGAGGTCAGGAGTTCCAGTCCAGCGTGGCCGACATGGTGAAACCTCATCTCTACTAAAAAATACAAAAACTAAATTGCTGTGGTGGCAAGTGCCTGTAATTCAGCTACCTCGAGAGGCTGAGACATAAGAATCGCTTGAACCCAGTGAGTGGAGGTTGCAGCGAGCCAAGATTGCACCACGGCACTCCAGCCTGGCGCCTGGTGACAGAACAAGACTCCGTCTCAAAAAAAAAAAAAAAAAAGGCTGGGCGCAGTGGCTCACGCCTGTAATCACAGCACTTTGGGAGGCCAAGGCGGGTGGATCACTTGAGAACAGGAGTTGGAGACCAGCCTGGCTAACATGGAGAAACCCCATTTCTAAAAAAAAAAAAAAAGAAAAAAGCATAACATGTTCATTCTTGCTTGTGCAAGCTTCATGTTAGCTACTTCGTGGGTGGCTAATTTGGGGAAAATAGGAAGGCACCCCATTTTAGAATTCCAATAGCACCAAACGAATTTGAGTTCCTGATTTTCCAAACCACAGTCCCAATTCTCCACAGACTCAGATCAGCTGTCCTGCTCTACTGCCATGGGTTACCCTCCTGCTCCTGCGACCAGTGGCTTTCCCATACCCTTCCTTCCCTGCTTCTTCGGTGGTGAAAGCTGGAGGTCCTGCAGCCACACTCACCCAGTTGGAGTCCTTGCCCCATTGCTCATGACCTGTTTGATCTTGAGCAAATTGCTAAATCTTTCTGAGCCTTAGTTTTTCCACCATGAATTGTGAATAAGAATAATTTCGATCTCAGCCGATTAAATAAGTTTTCAAACACCATTTACACACTTCCTCAGCACTTCCCTCTCTGCTTCCCAAAGTGCTTGAAAGAGGGTGAAAGGAGTTGGTGTCAAGGAACTCAAACCCAACTCTCTCCTCCTTGTCCTCACTGGCCAGGCTAGGGACCCATTGGCCGGTATGTGGATCTGCAGTGTAGCTTTTGGTCAGTGAGTAACTCCTCCTTCCCACTCCCCATGGTCTACGGGCCTGGTGGATACTAATCTCTCCTCTGGACCTCCCCAACTGACTGGCCTCAATCCACTGACTGGCCTCAGTGTTGGATGGTCCTCCTCTGCCTCTTTGGCCTCACGTCCGTCAGCCCCTAAATCAAAGTCAACCATGCTTCAGAAGAGGGGGTGGGTCCATGGCCTGCGCAGGGTTCTGAGCAATTCTTTACATCCTAATCGAAATCTTCACACACGAATTCTTCACTAGCATCTGCACATCCTAGTGTGTGGAGCAGTGTCCCTGTGGAGGACTCCTTTGGGATGACCAGGGTGACTGAGGGCTGCAGTTGGCATCCACAGCCTCTGGGGGCCCTGACATCTATTTAGCAGTCTGGATTCTATTTAACCCCAGTTGAGCCCTCTCAGGCCTCAGGACCCTAAAGCCACTCCTGCCCTCTCTTGTCTCTCTTTTCCTTGCAGGAGCTCCAGCCCCACCTCCAGCTTTCAGCGACTGTCTGGTGCAGGCATAGGGATGGCGAAGGGGGACAACCATGAACTTGATGGCCCAGGGCGAGCCTGATTTCCCTGTGGACACATTTATGCCCAGTGTGCATTCCTCCCTAGGTCTGTTCCAAGTCTGGAGGCAGCAGAGTGCAGTGGAGAGAAGAGTGGACCTGGAATCTCACCTGCCAGAGTCTAGTCCCGGATCTGACTTGGATTGCTGGGGCTGCCTTGGACAAGTTACTTCAGCTGTGCGCACCTCCATTTCCCCATGAGTAGAAGCTGGGTTTTGGATGGGCAGTGTCTGATACTGTACTGTGCTTTATGTTCATGAGCGTGCACACATAGGCCCATAAGATCATGTGTCTGGTCACCCTGGCAGGTAGATATTATTGCCCCAGGTTTCAGATAAGAAGACTAAAGACCAGGGGTCAGATTGCTTGCTCGGAGTCCCACAGCCAGCAGCAGCCGAGCAGGACAGGAAGTCAGAGTCTGGATTCCAGATCTTGCCCTCTGCCAAGTGTAGCACATTCTTCTCAAAGTGGCCTTGTAGGTCTTTTGTCCGGAAAATTTTGAGACTTTGATGAGGAGCCCTTATCTGCACAGTGGGAACTGGGCCAGTAACGCTGTATGTCCTTCCAGGCCTGGCATTGTCAGGCTGAAGCCCATGCCCCACACTCCCATCCTCACCCCCTAGAGAAAGATGCAAACTCCAGGGCCAGCCTGGTGGGTGCTGAACCTGCCTTGCTGAGCCAAGCCCAGGAGGTGGCCAAGGTTCTACCGGTGACCTTACCCTGGGGGGCCCTCCAGGTAGGGGCCTGGCTGGAAAAGACAGACCGACTTCTTGGGTGGGTGGAAAAAGATGACATACTCGTAGCCTTGTCCTTCCACTTGGATGCACCTGGTGAAGATGCGCCAGTCATCTTTGCCTGGGGAGAGATAAGCATGTCACAGCCAGAAAAGGAAGGGTGTGGTCAGGAGGCAGCACCGTTTGGTTGAGTCTTGTCTCTGGTACAAGATTAAGGAGAGAGAACCAGAAGACACCAGGTCCACCCCCAGTGAGCCTTCCCTCTGGGAGCAGAGGCACAGTTGCTGTCCTCACAGAGCCTTTCTGTCTAGGGGATAAACACGCAGGAAGTGTCCTGGCTGAGACTGGAGATAGGATCAGGGCTAGGGCAAGACTTTAGGAGACCATAAGCATTGGAAATTGAAAATGTAATTATGTGATCCACATATAATTCAAAAGAATAATACTAAACGGTAAAAACGTTCTGATTTTTTTTACAAGACAGTACCACTACTACATCCTTTTTTAGAAGTACCAAATTCTTTTTTTTTTTTCTTGGAGATGGAGTCTTACTCTGTTGCCCAGGCTGGAGTGCAGCAGCACAACCTTGGCTCACTGCAACCTCCGCCTCCCAGGTTCAAGCTATTCTCCCTGCCTCAGCCTCCCCAGTAGTTGGGATTACAGATACCCGCTACCATGCCCAGCTGATTTTTGTATTTTTGGCAGAGACAAGGTTTCTCATTTGGCCAGGCTGGTCTCGGACTCCTGACTTCGAGTGATCTACCTGCCTCGACCTCCCAAAGTGCTGGGATTACAGGCGTGAGCCACCGCGCCCGGCCAGAAGTACCAAATTCTTTTTAAAAAATTATTGGTTGGTATCCTTGCTTTGTTTGTGCCATAAACCCAAGGGTAGTTGTGCCCTGTACCACTCATTCATCACTGGGCAGGAAGACCACATATATGAATGAGAGAGACAGGAAGATACACATGCGTGCACACACACACACACACACACACACACACACACGAAGATGGAAGCTCTATATCATTAGGAGCCAATGGGTCTTTCAGGAGTGCTGCTCCAGACCCCACAGAGCAGGGATGGTGTGCAAGGCCTGCAGTGGAGGGGGTGCGGCGTCCACAGGCTTTCATGGGGTTGGAGGGGAAAGCTTGGGATGAGGCTTGATAGTTAGGGAGGAGCAGCCAGTGAGAAGTCAGGGCGGGAGCTGGACTAGCTGTCTTCCAGTGGGGACATGCTTGGCTGGGAGCAAAGGTGGGCCCAGCAGGGTGTGGTGAGTCAGATGGGAGGAGGGGAGCTGGAGACCTGAGAGGTCACCCTGCCTGCCTGTTGCCTGGGCCTGCAGCGTGAGGGGTGGAGTTGGGCAGCAGGAAGAACTGGGCTGAGAACTGGAAGGTTGCCTGTGAAGTTGCTTCTGAGAGTCTTAGAACACAGGGAAGGGCGGCTGGGGTGTGTGTGTTCATGGTCCTGGCCTTACCCGAGGAAACTTCCAGTCCGGGCGGGAGCTTGAATCCCCGTATGTGGTCTCTGTTGGACTTGTAGGAGGGCAACTTGACCCAGCCACTGGACTTGGTTTTCTCCAGAAATTCTTGGTACAGACTCAGCATGTCCGAACACCAGCTGGCATTGGGAAGGGCATAATCCTTCAAGTCTGTCTTCTCTGAGCATAATCTTGAGACCTGGACAGGAAAAATCAGAAGGACAAGACAGTGTCCTGGAGAGGGGCTGCTGCCTGAGCTTGGGACTTCTAAACAGCTGTTCCTGGGTGCTGGGGCTTCTCAATCCCTTCTGCCAGAGGAGAATCCATCCAAGGGAAAGGGCCCATCTTCCTTGCAGGGGGTCTGGGGACCCCTGTGGGTGGCAGGACACAGGGACGCTAAAGAGCAAAGGAAGGGCGGGCAGTAAGTGGGGCCGGAGATGATGGGCATGTTGCTCAATGTGGTGTGTTATCCTTTTCCTGCTTAAAACCTGTGAGCAGTTCTGTAAAGCCGACAGCTGCTCATATCAGCCTCACTGTACAGATGGGGATACTGAGGGAATATGGCCAAGGTTGGTGAGCATGTGACTGTGAGAGCTGGTGGTTGCACCACGCTGTCTCCTCTGCAGGGCACGGTCGCAGTTGTGGAGGACCACTCTAGTCACCCTGCCTCAGGGACGACTCCAGCTCTGCCCGCTACTGTGGGCCTGCCTGGGCAGGGTGGTGCCTTTGAAACACATGTGGCTCCCACAGAGGTATGGTGCCACGTATGGGGCACAGACTATGTGCCCGTTTGTGTGACATAAGGAAGTCCTCTGTAACATCACCTGCTCACACACCAGTCACAACTGTGGGCAGCATGCAAGCTGCTTGCCACCACCACAGAGAGGGTCTTCCGTCTGGGGATACCCCAGCTTGGCTGCAATAGTCTGAGTCCCATAGGAGGAAAGCGATTTATTGGTGGCCACACAAGGTTCAGAGCAGGATGCAGGTCTCCTGGTGGTTTTAGTTCAGAATCAGGGCCACTTGGTACCCCAAGGCACCTTCCCTTTGCCAAATCAAATAGCTCCTCCAAATACTGCCCACCTACCCTGGCCATGGGCTGGGAAGAGGAGAGATCTGGGGTGCATCTTAAGCCCTAGGCTCTTGGGAAAAGGCTGCCCATGTGGCTGAGCTGGGAACTCACTCACCGGAGAGTCTGTGGAGGATCCAAATGCTGAGGCAGGGTTCAGTCCGGGCAGGATACGGGGGGCCCCAAGAAGGCCTCTGTGGTGGCCAAGTCTTGCCACCACCTGGAAGCCTTTCCTTATCATGGCCAAGTGCAAGGATTGGGCCCTGCTTGGACGGAGGGTCTCGGCTGACTCCCAAGGAGTGCTTCAGCTGCACTTGGAGCCGCTTCTCTCCCTTCTGTCGCAAGCTTTCTTTCGGAGAGCTAGGCAAGGCAAGGCTAGGTTAGCGTGCTGCGACACATATTTATGTTCACTGCCTCTAACTGGGCCCAGGACCCTACCCAGGGGCAGATGTTGTTGGGCGTGAAAAGGCAGCAGGACTGGCTTGAGTTGCGTAAGGAGTGGGAGTGAAAAAGCAGTATAGGGTACACAGAGCCTTGGAGAGCTGCCTGGGGTTCCAAGGGAAAATCCAGGCGTATTTCCAGAAAGGTAAGGAAAGCTCATCTCTTGATTGGAGGGTGCCGGTGGAGTGTTTGTGGCACATGCTCTGCAGCGCATACCTGACTGAAAACTCTGGTATGATTTGAGACTCAGAAAACCAACTCACAGCCTTAGACTCCCCTTTTTTTTTTTTTTTTTTTTGAGATGCAGTTTTGCTCTTGTCACCAGGCTGGAGTGCAATGGCGAAATCTCCACTCACTGCAAACTCTGCCTCCTGGGTTCAAGTGATTCTCCTGCCTCAGCCTCCAGAGTAGTTGGGATTGCAGGCACACGCCACCACGCCCAGCTAATTTTTGTATTTTTTTTAGTAAAGATGGGGTTTCACCATGTTGGCCAGGCTGGTCTCAAACTCCTGACCTCAGGTGATCCTCCCACCTTGGCCTCCCAAAGTGCTGGGATTACAGGCATGAGCCACTGTGCCAGGCCTGAACCAGTTTTTTTTTTTTTTTTAATTGATTCAGGCTGTTGGTCTAAGCAAAGGTATTTGAGTTGGTTGCCGTCTCCAGATAAGTAGGGCTCCTCAGGTCGCCCTGACAGCTGGAAGCTGGTCCCAGCAAGGTGGCCCCAGGACGAAAGAGCTGTCCTCCTAGGAAGAGTCAGTAGGGCTGGGTGCAGTGGCTCACACCTGTAATCCCAGCCCTTTGGGAGGCCAAGGCGGGCGGATCACCTGAGGTCAGGAGTTTGAGACCAGTCTGACCAACATGGAGAAACCCCATCTCTATAAAAATACAAAATTAGCCGGGTGTGGTGGCACATGCCTGTAGTCCCAGCTACTTAGGATGCTGAGGCAGGAGAATGGCTTGAACCGGGAGGCAGAGGTTGTGGTGAGCTGAGATTGTACCATGGCAACAAGAGCAAAACTCCATCACACACACACACACACACACACACACACACACATGCACACACAAAGTCAGTAGATGGCTGGGTGCAGTGGCTCATGCCTCTAATTCCAGCATTTTGGGAAGCTGAAGTGGGAGGATTGCTTGAGCCCAGGAGTTCAAGACTAGCCTGGACAACATAGTGAGACCCCGATTCTACAGAAAAGAAAAAAATTAGCTGGGTGTAGTGGTGTGCACCTGTGGTCCCAGCACTCAGGTGGCTGAGGCAGGAGGATCACTTTAGCCCAGGAGTTTGAGGCTACAGTGAGCCCAGATTGTGCCAGGGCACTGCAGCCTGGCTGACAGAGTGAGACCCTGTCTCAATTAAAAGAAAATAAAGTCGGTAGTTGAACCTGGGAAAGGAAATTGCTGTTTCACTGCCTGAGGGTCACTTGGGAGCTGGGTCGTCCTCCAGCCACTTCCCCAGGTGATCCCAGTGGGGTCTGAATCTCTTGTTGCCTCCTATGTTGGTTATTTGACGATTTTTGGTTAAATTGACTTTCAAATATTTACATAATTATGATTACGTCACTTTTGCTCTCAGCCTTGCCACATAAGTACAGTTACATTTGTTCCCTGTATAACTTTGTTTTCTTGAGTGGATAATCACCAAGGTTCAGCTGGATGATGTGGTCCAGGGGAAAACAGGTGAAGGGAAGGAGCTGGCGAGTGGTCGAGGTCAACTTTCACTTCCTTGCTAGGAGGAAGAGTGTCCAGGAGGGAGAAAATAAAAGAGACGAGGCTCTGGTGCTGTCTGTGATATTGCAGAGCATCTCTGGTTGGATCAAGGGCATGACAGTGAAAGGAATTAGGATATCTGAGAAGAACATCCATAGCTGATGGTACAACCATGGGCGTGGCCCTGAATTAGGCTGGCTGGAGGAGAGTGAAGGAGGTTTCCAAGGCCATGTAGAAAAGAAAGATCAGGATTATTGAGAAAGTGCTCCTTTCCCCCTTTCCAAGTCCTCCTTCCACCATCACACACGTCTTGTGGATACTTTCTGCAACAGGGAGCCCTTCCTGGATATGGGCCAGTGGTCGGCTCTCCAGGGAGGTGGAAAGGTGTCCAGCTAATACTTTGAATTAATACTTTGACAACATGGTGTCCAGCTAATACTTTGAATGGGTTTTGTGACAACATGGACTTTAGCCCTAGCCCTTCTCCTCCTGTATGAATTTAGCTCAGAGAAAATAAAGAAAATGCAGCCCAGAGACAAGAAAGCCTCTCTTCAGGCCTGGGGTCTCTGGAGAAACCATCAGAAAACAGAGGAAGCCAGTGCCCATTTAGTGTAGCTTAGAAGTCCTGCTGAGTTTTGGTTTAGCTTGCTGCTGGCCTGGTTCATTTCCAGCCTGGGATCCATGGGTGGACGCTGAGTTCGGAAGCTTCTCTTCCTGGGCTATGACCTGTGCCCAGAAGCCAGTCCTATGCCTGATCTGCCCATGGTCCGCAACAGAGCCGCAGTGGTATGGGGACAAACACGCAACAGTCTTCCCTGGGACTGGGGTAGGTCAGGGGAGCTCTGATTTTTAGGGTTTGCCCAGTTCTGCAGTGTGAACATTCCCATGGTGGCTGATTTCTAGCTGTCAATAAGAAGTCATTGTGCAGGTAGGAGGAGCTGAGCTCAGTCAGCTTTTGTAAACCGGTGGGACTGGGCTCCGGCACACCACTCTTTGGCTTGGAGTGAAAGAGCAGGAGTGAGCAAGGCCTTGGTGGGTTCAACACAACAGCTCTTGGTCCCAGATTTAAGGTCACTGTACTCCATCTTTTGGAGTTTCCTTCCCTTGCAAGGCTGACTGTGGAGTACCCAGTCTCCCCAGCTTGTCCTCTTTGTTGCCCCCCCAAACAGATTCACAGGACATGTTTTGTTCAAAGACATTTATTGTTAACTACTAAGAGGAAACAGGAAGATGATTAACATTCCCAGAAATCTCCCAAAGTCCTCCATGTCATGGGTGGCCCTGGGGGCCCTTCTCAGATCACCTTGGACATGTGCTGAGCACCCCTGATGTGGACTGACTGGCCCCCTGCGGGATCGTGGGTCTCCCGGCACTGTGGAATGGTGCTGTCTGGGCTGATTCCCATCTGGCCAGTCTGGATGAGGAAAGACCTTTCTAGACATCAGATCCCGCCGGAAGATTCAGGCCCGCAGGCTTAACATGGGCAATTTCTGGAGGGCAACTCCTGCTGAGGCTGCTCTGCCCTCAGGAAAGCCGAGTTCCTTGACTTGCAGAGCTAAGGGTCAGAGGCAAGCTGGGCGAGGAGCTGTGCCTAATATGGGTGGTGGGCAGACCCAAGGGGACTTGGGGGCAACTCTGGCCTCACTCCATGTGGGAGTTACCTTGATATAGGCCCAGCTGCCGACACCTCTGCTTTTTCAAGAAAAGCTGGTGCCAATCTAGACTTGCATTGAGGAGGGAGACCCAGGCACTTGGGATTCCTCCCCCTCTGTCATTTACTGTGCATCTCAATAGAAGGCAGAGTAGGCCAGCTGGCGCTTCCTGAATCTCTTTCCTGAAAACAACAGGCTAGGCCTTGGGGAAACTCTCCAGAAGGCACTATTTTTACTTAAAACAAGATCAACCCAGAAACCTTTTCATATGTGAGTCCTAAAACTATGAACCTAAGATTCTTCCACGTGTAACCTCTAAAGTATAAGCCTATATAAAGGCTAAACTTCCCTTTGTTAGACGAGCTTGGCTGTAAGGCACCTATGCCACCTTGCTCCCAGCTGAAATAAATTCCTTCCTCCTGTATTCGATGTCCGAGAGATCCTTTCCCGCGGCCGCTCCTGCTACAGTGAAAACTCCTAACCTTTAGATGCTGCCTGAACCAAACCAAATGCCTCTGACTAGATCCTGTCCTGTGAGTTGCCGGTCCCACCCCTTGGTTCTCAGCTCATCCCCAGGCCCTCCAGGACTCTGCTGCTTGTCTGCCCCAGATCTACTCTCTGACTCTTTCCAGATTAGCCAGTTTTTCCTGGTTCCCTCTGGGAAGGACCTTCTTGAGATTCATTTTACACCCTGGACACTCACAGAGGACTCTGAAAAGGAAAGTAATTGTTACATGTTGAAACTAATAAATTGGCTGGCTCAATGGGCCTCAGGCTTTGTGCAGCGTGGGGAAGGGAACAAACCCACCCTCAGACAGTCCAGGGCAGAAGAGGACTCTCTGCAACCAGGAAAAAGACTGTCTTGACAAAACATGGGGCACAGGATGGGAGCTAAAAGGAATGGCTGTTGAGCTCTCTGCCCAGAGGAACCCTGGGAGACTGGGCTTGAAGGGCGCACTGGGCCACGGCATGGGGGCCTTTTGCCTAGGGGAGCCGCACAGCTGCTAGGCAGGGGTGGCTGTGTGGGCAGCTGCTGGTGTGATCACAGGGCTGATGGGGTCTCAGCAGGGAATAGAACTGTGCTGGGACTGAGGGGAACCTGATGCCATTCCACAAATGTCAGAGCCCTGACCACTGCTCAGCCAGAACCGAGTTCCAAGTTGTGAAATGCTAAGGGGCAGCAAGGCAGGACCTCCAAGCTCAGAAAGCTGTGGTGACATCCTGAAGGGGTGTGTGTGCACGTGTGCGCACATGTGTGGTGCAGGAATGTGTGTGCACGCGTGTGTGTGTATGTGTATGTGTGTGTGCACGTGCTGAGGCGAGGCTCAGAGGTCCTGGCCAGCCCTGGCCTGTACTGCAATCCCTTCCTCCTCAAATCCAGATCATGGCTTGAGAGGGGATACTTTCAAAACAGTGGGACAGCCACACAGTGCCGCTGGTACATCTGCTTTACTAGCTTGGGATACAAAGTAATAAAGCAGCAAAGGCCGAGAAACAAACCTCTGGAACACTGAATTGGGAAGGAAGTGGTGATTTACTGGGCTGGGGGCTGCGGTGGGTCTGGATGCCCCAAATAGCCGAGCCTTGAACAAAGAAAATCCCTGCCCTTATAAAGGCTTACAACTCTAGAAATTACACGTGAAAGGGTCCTGGGCTTACAGCTCTAGA